CTGAAGTGGAAAAGGTGGTGAAGCTTGTCTTCATCAACGAGGACAATCATTCCTTGAGGCATGTCGCTCTCTCTTTCTTTAGGCAGTTTTTTACTGTCGCCGAACGGCGTTCCGAAACAGGCGCACAAATCGCCATTGGTAAAGGAGCTGTGAATGGTTCGGCTCGATTGGAAACTTCGTTTGCGGCCACTGGAAATGACCAAGCAACTCTACATCTAGCCCAGAGATTCCTAGAGGACTTTGTGAAAGCTGCTTTGCAGAACAAGAACGAGCTCGCTGTAATTGCCACAGACATCATTGCCAGTATCAGTCGACAAGGACTCGTTCATCCGAAGGAGTGCGGTGCCGCACTCGTGGCCTTGGCTACTTCACCAAATAAAAGCTTGGCTCAGGTGGCGGGCGACGAACACAGGCGTATCCATGAGAAGCAAGAGTCGTATCTGGAGAAAGAATACATGCAGGCCATACATATGGCTTTCAGATATCAACTGGACTTGTTCAATGATCCACGAGGGATGGTCGAAGCTACCCATACTCCGAAGCTTGCCAAACTTTTCGAGGCGCTGAAGACTGGCAAGAAAGCAAGCCTGAAGAAGTTCATTGCCAACTTCTGCAAGCAAATTGACTTTGACCTCTCCAAGTTGGATGCCAGTGGTCCTGTACCAGAGGCTATCTTATACGCTCGTTTCTGTCTGGAGAACCTGGCCTTGCTGGACTTTCCGCATCAAGAGGAACTAGCAGTATTCCTCAATGCAGTCGAAGCGATGGTACTGAACACAACCGGACCTGCAGTGGGAGTTGTCATCGCAGAAGAACTTCCAAAACAATACATTCAGGTAGAGCAGCCACAGCCAATGGATCCATTTCAGCAACATATGATGACTGTTGGACCTATGAACGGAATGCTACCACCACAACCGCTACCACCAGTGATTCAAACTGTGCCTCAGCTCGCACCACCAAATATCGACGACGGCCGCCTTCGTCAAATCGCAACGGCCTGTACGATTCTACAGATGGTGTGGGAGACTCGCAGTTTCATTCGGCGATGGTATGGCATTAAACATAACGGACCCATTCCTCAAAAGGAATATGCTAAACCTGCGACCCGCAACCATCTGGCTACCACCAGTAAAGACTTATGGGAACGCCTGTCTGGTGTCATGAATGCCCTGGAGACCCGCGAAAGCATGGTGAAGCAATGCTACGACTTTGCAGATTTGCTGGACATTGATCGGGAAACTTTCATCGACGCAGACGGTGATGATACTCTGGATGCAGGATATGAGACACCCAATGATGACGGCGAGAACAACACACAATTCCCAACTAGTGGTCGTGGTAGAAAGCGGAAGAGTAACGTTACCTTGGGTGGCAGTACGCCTAAAAAGTTCAAGGTCAGGCCGGCGGGCTCCAAGAAGAAGAGAACCTCGCGCACGCCGGATGGCGACGATGATTCAGACTAGGTGCCATGATCAGTCTAGCCATGATTGAAGAGGGAAGCAAGAATATCTGGTATGACCGGTCATATTATGAATGAGCATTCACATATGCGGCACATCAGCATCGAGCTTGCCTGGATTGGTGGAGCGAGTATTTATTTTTGCATCTTTTAAACAGCATCTTATCGGCGTTAGAAAAAAAAGGCACGTATAGCATCGATACCCTTAACGTGCAGATCTTGGCATGCGAATTTATGTACACGACGCGCCAGCGTTCTCATCATAGCAAAAACCTGGGTTTTCATGAAAACGGCGGTTTCGGACCTCAATAGCTGCAAGCATGCGAAAGTAGGTTTCGGCATGTCGAGATCTAGTAATTGAAATCTAGCATATCCAGCATAGCCTAGGATGTGTCACAGAATAACTCATGCGTGAATAAACTAGTGACAGAGCCAAGTTGAACAACTCATGATACCTATTATCTACAACCCCCAAACCCAGTGACATGCAGACTTACATTTCGTCAACTCTCCTTCCTCAAAACACCAAAAAAGAAAAAGAACTGGCCAAACGTCCAAACAAGCTTCCGCCTCCAACACACCTACAGCCAGCCCACCCACTCACCCTTGAGCAAAAGGAAAAAAAACAACCCCCAAACGCACAACCTCCCAAGAAGCGCTCCATCTCCGTGCTTGCAGTCTCTCCTTCCCCCTTGGGTCTGCACTGCGCATCTCCCTTTTTTTCTCGCCTCTACCCGCTTTTTCCTCTTCTCTCCGATCTTATCTATCTGTGTATGTGTGCATGTGTGTGTGTGTGTGCCACCAACATCCGTATCTCTTCTACATACGCACGTACGTACGGGTATCTTGATACGACGGACGGTGGTGGTTGGGTGGCCTGAGCAGCCCCCACCACACCATTGTTGCAGCCACTACGATTAGTGTTGGAACAACTTCGCGGGGGCTGGGTGGGGCTTGTGGAAAATTAAACGGAGGCGAGTGTTGGATGTTGGTGTATGTGGCTCTGTTGGTGGTTTTTTTTCGTGTTTCTGTAGTAGGTTGATTGGGGGTGGTGGTGTGGCTGGTGCGGATACTATTGGTGGATTAAAAGGGGGGGAAGATGTGGCGTTTAAGGGTGGTGATATTGTTTGTGCAGATGTGCGGTTGTGAGAGAGTATATGTTTGACTGGAGTACGCTTGGGATGTTGGATGGAGGATGGGATTGAGAGGTTAGAAGTTGAAGGAGGGGGGGAGAGTGGTGAGCTATGGAGGCGGGGATGTGTGTGTGTGCTTAGTTGGATGTATGAATGGATGGTGTAGAAGGTATTTGGAGAAGAGACGGGAATTGGAAGAAGCAGTGGCGGATTGAGAACAGTAAGATTGTGCATCAAGATTGGTATGTGTAAAGAGAATATGTGAAAAGAGATGCATGAAAGAAAATGGGACTTGGGAGAAAAGTCGCAAGGCGGTTGAAACACTCTCACCCCCCCCCCACCTACACCTACGCATTCCCACGAGACTTGTCAGGAAACCAAGATACCCAGTGAACAAGAAGAGTAGAAGAAAGAAATCGATTCGAGTATCCTCTCTGCGACAAACGCAACTAGGCCTGGACCAATATCTCCAGTCTGGCTCATGTTGCCGCAAGGACTCCACCCACATCCGCACACCGACCTCACGATGGTATCTCGAGATTGAGCGTTGGCTCCGGAACGAAGGGCCGTCAAAACCTCAGCTCCTACTTCCAGAGTAAACGAGGGAAAGGGAAAAAAAGGGAAAGGCTGGGTGGGTCAAAGTACAATATGTGATAAAGAGAGCAAAGAAAGAAGGTGTGTGAGTTTCCTGGTACGGACAACGTCATCGGCAGTTGTAAAGAGCTCAACAACTTTTTTTCTTGCGCCTCAAGTCCTTTTTTTCGGGGAGGATGCTTCCCCCCTTTTTCTCTGGGAACCCCGACGTTCTTTCAGCCGCCAGCACGTAGGATTCAAATATATGCCATTGATCTGGAAAGAAGACCTCAGCGAGCATAGGGTGGCCCCATGCCGCACTTTGGACGTTACGCAGCCTGGGATGAAAGCCTCGTACGCGACCAAAACAGAACTGCATAGGCAAAAGAGGATGAGGATTCAGAACTTAGTACCGGCATTGCCCCCAATATACCCCCCCACCCCCGTAGTAGCAGTCGCCCAGTCACCCCGCAACACTCTCAGACCCAAACCCTCGCATGATCATCCTCCTCATCCTACCACGTACAAAGTCAACTCCTCGGACCCCAAAAAAGCGACGAGAAGGCCACCCAACACCCTCTTTTCGCCTACGATCATACCACTTTGAGCGAAAACCAGCATGCCAGATAAGGAAAAAGATCTCTTCCAGGCCTCCCCCCCCCCGCCTTCCCCTAGTCACCCGCGCCGCTCTCCGCACTCTCCCATTTCTGGCTCGATCATCACTCGTCAGGCCCTGCTCAAAAACATTGCTCCCCCCCATTCTAACTTACCCACTCTCCCAGTTTCGGAAACCAACCCCCATGTGACCTGTATTGGTTTCGCCAACTAAATGTCTTGCGCCTAAATTGGAGCGTTTTTGTTGGAAGGGGGGAGGGACCCAAACTCCAAAAGGGTACTTGAGTTGGCTTGTTTTGAACTACTGATTATAGTGTTATGGTCTGCACGAACTCAGTTATAGCCCTATATCACGCTGGGTTTTAAGAGCAGCATCGTTCGACTTTTTTGGGGGTGGAGAGGTCAGGTGGTGTCGTGCCCGGTTTAGGCTGCCGATATAGTGTGTGTTTGGTTTTTTATTTTGTCCAAGTGGGTTTTGCCCTGTATGGAAGGAGAAGATGTGCAGCTTGGTGTGCTGAGGTTGCAGTTGCGAGACGCAACGCACGTTTGAAAACAGCATAGCTGGGTTGCTCCATTGCGACATATAATCTTTTTTAACTTGTTTCGGGAAACTTTGCAGGCGTGGGAGTGATGTTGAGGCTGTCGTATAGTGTACATGTGCTCAACAAGATTGAGGAAGCGGCTGTTTGCCACAAGTCGGCGTCAAACTCTTGGGGCATCGCGCTTCTCCGGATTTTGCTTCAGTTGATCGCCGCAGCTAGTAGAGTCCTCTTACTGGGGAATACTGGTAAAGGTTCGTTGCTGATTGCCGCGCCGCTTTCATGATGTTCATCAGAGTCACGCCATCCGGCTAGGCACAACAATAGCATCCAGGATTCATGCCCTTTCGGAACGGAATGTAGACGAGTAATACGAGGCAATTTCACATCATCTCAAATCGAATCTCAAGCCATGGTAATTGTCATTGCAAAAGGGACACTTTTGTCGAGAATAGTGCCGGGTATATACTATGGTAATTGAGTGTCTTGGCGAAGCTGGGAAATATTTGCCGGAAACCCTGCAGCTGGCGTGTACCCCACATCCCAAGGACGGCATCACGACCCCATGGTTTTTTGTTGCTTGACTGCTGTACTGTACGAGAGTAGCCAAGGTCGAAGAAAAAGCCTAGCTTCGGAAGTCTTCTCGAAGACCCTGATTACGCATGGACGTCAGGGCCGATGTTCCACGAACCTGTTCTTTTATTGCAGATTTCCAAGGATGTTGTTTCAGGGGAGGGGTTGTCTCAGAGCAGCAGCTTGTATCCCCAAGTTGCAGTCGGTATGTGGAGATCCGCCTTAGCTGTGGAGGATGCATGTATCCACGCTTGCAGCTCACGCGCCCCTTACTCTCCACAACTACAGCGTCTTTGGCGTAATAGCAGCGCCCTTATTGTCGAGTATAGTTTGGCGATGCTTGATATGCCCCCTCGAAGAATTTTTGCCAAGTGGGAGATGCCGTTCGTTATGCCCGATGGAGTCGCATCGGCACGATCTTCGTACCAACTCATCTGATGCATGTCGGCCAGACGGCCCCCTGATATTGCTAGGTAACAGTGGCTTGAAGCCGAGGAGTCGGTCCAACGGCTCATCTGATGCCCGCATGAGATCATTCACAACAAGGCAGCGATGCGCCACATCTGGATCTTGTGACGTTGTAAAAAGCAAAAAAGGACATCAACGCCCAGGAAAGAAAAAGGGAGAACCCGAGAACGAGAGCGAAGATGGTAGCGACGGGAATTTGCATCGGAGAGAGACAAGGTTCGTTAAATCGCCTAGCTGCATACGAAATTTGCAAGCCCCCTCGACAAACGTAGAGATCCAGCACGTCTGATCTAGTGCCTCACATGCTGTGGTGAATACGACCGGTCGAAAGGCTAGATGTGGGATGACAGACCGAGATATCCGGGTCTAAATCACGCAATTATGATGAAGACAAAAAATACTGACAGGTGGGGAGGCATGATTGGTCGAAAAAGAGGGTTTGATCGATAAAGAAAAAAAAACCAGTAAGTCAGGTATAGGTAATTGACGAGCATGCTGCATTAGCGACGGATGTGTGGCATCCAGAAGTTCGGAAAGAGGAGCAAGCGTCCTGCAGATGCTAGGGTCGTGCCGCTATATTTCCTTGGTACTTGGGTGTACCTTGTCTGAGTGGTAGTGTTTAGTTGCATGTTGCGCTGGCCTTTTCCCAAACCAGTCGTGGTCCCCTGGCAGCGCAGATGTCGTGGTGGTGGCTTGGGGATGACAAAGCCACCAGGCGACATGGCTACGCAGAGTTGCTGCTTGTCACGATATCATGATTGCTTCAGGCCCAGGATGTCTCGGAGACATGTCCCACAAGGACATGGCGTAGCGGCTGGGGGATGGTCTGAGTTTAGCAGATCCAGCATGCGTATGCGGTGATGCCGAATGTGACGTGCGCGTTGCAAATATGTAGTAATAGTAAGTAGTTGGACATTTGCCAAGTTTGACCAGAGCTACTCGACTTGCTCACTCGGGGGATGAAGGTTGGCAGTACAAGGCTGACATATGACACAGTCATCCAACGAGTAATGACGGACCGTCTTATGGTGTGCCAAGCAGAGTCCATACTGTTGTGCCACTGTTCGCTTTGTGCGGCTTGCAGCGTAAGCAGCCCTCGCTCGGGACGACCCTCCACAAAACGAAGGGCGAACGCCCTGGCCGGTGCACTGCAGTAATCTCCACTCGCCTTCGCCTACTCGAGCGCCACGCGGGAGGCTGTGCGGTGATTGGCTGCGCTCGAGTATCCCCATTACATGTCTGGAGTCGCTGCGTGTAGGCGTTCGCGGCTGACGCCCGCCTCGACTGTGCAGACATTCACTCGACCGGCTAAAAGGAAGAATGCTCAACACGGGCCAAAACGGTCATTCCACCCACCCTTTGCAACCCCTGCCCTTACTTACTCTACTGCAATCACCCTAGAGGCAATATCGAGTACCGAGATCTAGCAAATGACCGACGAAAGCGCACGATACCTCGAGGTACAACCGAGCTGCAGCCACTCAAACGGCGCCTCGACACCACCAAACCCCTACCTACCACGTTCCCCACATCCTGCGCGTCGATCGTCCCAGTCGCTTCCGCTAGCTGTATACCAAGAAAGGCCCTCTACTTACCTTTGGCGCCGCATCCATCTGTTGTATCCATCGACTAGTCCGCTGCATCCTGCCATCATAGCCACCATCGCAACATGTCTCTTTCTGGCCCTAGTCGGCGGAGCCTAGTCATCTCCCTGGGGCCCGTAGTCAAACAAGATCCTGCACATTGCAAGCCAGCCTCACGCCAGCCGCACGCCATGCCCGAGATCTAGAGCGCCCATGTCCGTAGCCCTCCCATATCCAACTTCTGCCTGTGCTATCCCATATCGCCTCCCCCGTGACATGGGCACGACGTGAAAAAAAGGTAATTGACCCTTTTCTGACTGCAATGTTGCCAAGACCCAAGGGGAAAGTCTAGCCTAGGCTTGTCCCTCGCTCAAAAACCGGTTCTAGACAACCGCTTGCCGCGACGGGATGTGACGATCTGTAAGGACTCCACCCGCGCTGCTGCTCAAAGCCAGGCCGCCATTCCGAAGCGTAGCTTACTTGGTCGAAACCCGAACGACCAGTCAACGCGCTTGCATGCTCACCGTATCCCGAGCCTTTGGCACCCACGTTGGCTGTCTAACGTCACCACACGGCAGACGCAGCCCACCGCCCCCTAATAGTATGTGGTCCACAGACTATACTCTTCTCGCAGTGTGTTGTTCTTCTCCGCGCAGGAAACGCGATTTCGTCACGGCACCCACAACCAAACCTTCCCCCTTTTTTTTTACACTTTCATCTAACGAGATGAAAAAAGGCCCCCATCAAACAAGCCGAGACCTGAAAAATCAACCCTAAAATGTGGAGAGGTAGTATGTTGGGATGCGGCTTCTTGAATGAGCAAGACGCGGCTATGATGCATGCGGATGATGTATTGGCGAGATTGATTCGGCATTGCACGTACATGGCACTACCGTAAGGCACTGCAGTGGCACCATATTCGGACCTGGATCTTCCTGGGCCTTTGCACTGGATCTGGGGCAGTTGTAGCGGAGAGTAGGGAGGACACTCCGGTGCTGAGGTGTGCCAGTGATGAGTGAGGCTTGCAGCTTGCGTGTACATGTCTGTATGCATGACGGGTCTCGTTTCGGGTCGGCCATGTATGTACGTAGTTAGAGTTGAGCACGTTGAATGCTTCTTAACACCTGTGTTAAGGCGATATATGGTTCACGCCATGTGTCTGCATAAGATTTGGCAGCCTCGTGAACACGCACAAAGAGCGTGTCCCGTCTTGCAAACACTGAAAAAAGCTCTGCCATTACTTAGCTGCAATTGGCAAATCTTTGCGGAGGCCACGACCACACTACTGTTTGTGATACACAAAAGGCCCGTCCCCGTCAGCCGTGATCCGTTGCTGCATGGCCTTTAGAGCAGATATGCTGATCGAATGCAAGGATTCTACGCAAGCACAAGAGTGGGTGGGGGGACGTTGGTCCTTTGGCCCATGTGGGCGATATTGCGGTAGCTGGCCTGCATGTTTTCCGAATTCCAACGGCAACAGTGTCGGTCATTACAAGTCCCACCGAGTCTCAACAGATCTGGGGTGCATGACAAAACCAAGTATGCCCTTGCTTGTATTTACCTCTGAGAGCACGCGGTAGACGGGACTTCTGCGACCTGGTATATGGTCCAGCATTTCACTTCTTCTTTCTATTTTCGTCCATGTCCTTAACAGGAGGCAAAGTCCCCGGACCCCTCGTGGGCATACGTCGGTTTCCATGCATCGCTAGACTGGGAACGCTCATAGCGAGGTGACGATGGATGCGGACGTTGTATCGTTCAACGGTCAATGTGAAAGATGTCCTTCACCTAACATATGCAGTATCCCAAAAACGCCCACAAGTAGCCATCCTGCAGGTTTTGTCGAAAATGGAGAGGAAAAGCTTGGCTTCAGCAAAGTCATTTGGCTCTCGAGAGTCGGGTAGTTGGGGCTTTGCGATCGGGAAGCCGATTATGGGCCGGTAAGACGGTAGCGCGAAGGAGCGTGACTCAGGGGTCAAGTGGATAGTCGACAAATGCTAGTGGGAGACAGGTTCTGAGTGTCATATGCCCAAGTGCCGGCGTGTTCCGGTACGTGGCTATTGCTGCAAGCAAGCCATCCTTGTGCCGCTCTCGGAAAGCTCTTCGTGCTTTTGCTGCGGCTACTCGATGGTGTTGCAAAGCACGGTCGATGTGACAGGACACAAGGCTGGCCCTTTTAGTATCGTTCAGGAGACTAAAATCCCGAGTGTGGAAATGGTTGTAGTGATGTGTTTGTTGGTGTTCCGGAAGCTCCCCCCACCACCCGATGGAGTAGGTACAGTAGATTGTTAAAGTACCAATGTTGATTGGCTCATCTATTGATACCGTGCAGTCGTCAGCACCACGCGCAGCCTTTTGGTCCGCGGCGCACTAGGTCCAAAGACGGCCTTACTGGTCCTTCTCAGAGAACTATCATGCATTTTAGATTGTAAAAAAGGGGGTGTTTCTTCTTGGTGTCTGGTAGTCGTGTTTGTGTTAGATAGATACACCAGACGACGTGTACTGTGTAAGTAAATACGGCGGGTTGCAGGGGTCACGCATTTGAAACCATGATCCTAGGTATAGCAGCGCGTGAGTGAGACATATGGACAGACTTCCTCAGGAACACGGTGCGGCTACACCGAGTAATCATAGCAGCTATGCTATTGTCCATCCTCTTGCACGGCACAGCGCCTTACTGCAACTGTCAAGCAGATCTTCTCTCGCTATGGCTCCGTGTATCAAAAGCACGCACACGCACACACGGTAAAAAGCCGTATTTTGAGTTTGATATGATTGTTCTGCTCAGGATTGCCTGATCACTAAGAGCGTAGTAATGGAACCCAATTCCATCATATAGTAGTACTATCAACAAACTTGTCCAAAAATGTGTTCTAGAAGCGAAGCAGCAGCAATCTGCCGAGGGGGGTATAATGAACAAACCAATATAGCGGAATCGGGAGTAGATATTCTCAAACCGGCGAGAATATGGAAAATCTGCCAAATATTGCCCTTCTTTTTGATAAGGGACCATGGGTATGTGAAGTGAAAGATGTTGAACAACATGGTGTGGTGGGGAAAGTTTGGTATCGGGAAACGCCTTTCCGTTCCCACCCATCGCACCGAGAGCGTAAATAACAAACGTGTCGAAATGCAGAGACAATATTTTCAAAACGCCCAAAATCATAATACATGAACTCATAATACACCACCCGCTAGATGTGTGCGTGTGTGTGTGTGTGTGCCCGTTCCGTCAAACGCCAAGTAAGCCTTGTGCGAAATGTCTGTGCACCGGGAGAAAGGAAGGATAAAGAGAACACAAGTGTGTGGGGAAAGCAAGCGTCAGAGCATATCGTAATGCTACCGAGGCAAACCACTGATCGAGATTGCGCCTCGGCCAAGAAGATGGTAAAATAGGTAATTGGAATCGAGGCCAAAGATGTCATCACTGCTACGTGTGGTCGTGGAGCGGAGTACGGCAACACGGTCGCGAGATGATCCCGAGATGACAAGGGTCGAGGATGGCGCGAAGCGAGCGTCGAATGCACCTCAGAGTGCGAGCCCAGTGCCGTCGCCGCTCCAACGGTAGAGACTCAACATTTCCCTTCGGCGTTGTTGCGCCAGTTCGGCATGTTCGTCTATGCCGCGGCCACGCACTTGCTGCAAGGCAGAGCGCATGACTTTCCGGAAATTCCGCTGTGAGATGATTGTTAGCATGACTGGCCGT